AACCCCAGACTCACCCTCGTATTCTAACCTCCCCATGTAATCAATCTACCATTTATTTATTTTAGTTATTTCACAGTAATTAGTATTTAGTTCCTGACATGTTGAGGCAGAGGGCACTTGCTGTAGCTCTGGTTGAGGGTGAGAGGCAGTCAGTAAATAGTTTGTTGGGCACAGGGAAACAGAGATCTGTGTGGGTACATGAGACCCTAAAAAAGAGGGTGGATCATGGGGAATACCACCAGTTGGTCCAGGAGCTTCTCCTCCATGATGGCTGTTTCCAGGCATATTTTAGGATGACTCAGGGGCAGTTTGACAATCTGCTGTCTATCATCAGGGCGTATATAGCTCTGGGTATCCAGTAGTCTCGCTCACCAGACCTTTCTCAAGAAAAGAAAGGTTTGGCTGGGCCCACTCTTACTTTAAAATTGGAGAAGAAAAACGCCCCGGCTGCTTGTATACCTTTCAATCAATCACAGTCGTTCTGGGCGGTGCCACAGCAACGGTGCGCTTGCAAAAATATATATATATATATATTTTTTTAACAATTTATTTATTGAAATTTTTCAAACAAAGTACAATATTTCAGAGTCAATACCATTAACATTAGGTATTAAATGGGGTGAAAAAGATAATAGTAATAATTATAATAATAAAAATGGTAACAACAACGAAAATAATACTAAGATAAAATAAAACAATAAAGATGAGGAAAAATAAATAAATAAACAAAAATAAAACAACACTAAAACAAATTAAGTTACAACAACAGTAATAACCCATACTCACATCGGTAGAAAGTGCATTACAGAGGTAAAACAAAACAAGACATACAGAGGTTGGTACAGGAAATAGAAATAACAGCAGGAGGCTTGGATAAGGTTATATCATTCTCACACATAATGTTACATTACACCTAACCTTTTGGGCTATTTACCCAAACATTGAGTGAATTCCAGAATCAAGCCCTATTTCAATTCCGACCATGTACATCACCCATAGGAGCAGCTCCATTATGTAAAAAGGTTACAAATCCTCCCCAACACTTATTAAAGACTAATGGTTTTTTCCTGAGATTAAACATGATCTTTTCTGATGGCAAGTATGACGAGAGCTCTTTAAGCCACAAAGAAACACCAGGGGGGTCCTCGCTTTTCCAGTTGATAGCTATACATTTGTTAGCCGCAATTAAGGCTAATCTGATAAAACGAGTGTTGACTCTCATATTAATTGGTAAAATCGACAGGTCCCCCAATAGTGTCAGCCGTGGATTGGCCGGGATTTCCACCCCCACAATTCCTTTAACAATGTCCAAGATAGATCTCCAGTACTGCTCCAAACATCTACACATCCGCTTGCAAAAATATTGCCGGGGGGAAACAGGTTTTGGTGTAACACGCCCACAAAAATATCGCCTACAGGACGCGAACCATGGCAGAAAAATGGCTACATCCCCGCAAGATCAAACACCGCAAAAGTTAGTAAAGGACATGTTGAAAACTGCTACACAACCGGAGGTGGTAGGGTGGGACTTCAGCGGGTGGCTCGTTCCGCCCAATGAGAGGCTGATCTATGCAGCGAACTTCCGCCCACTCAGACTAGGTATCCAGCAACCGCTACTACCAGTTTGTCCTCCATTGTTTACCAGCTGTAAACTTGTTGTTGTGACGACCACAGAAGGCCCGCCTCTCAAATCATTGGATTGGACAATGGGGGAAAAAACAAGATTACAAGGGGCGCTGCTAGTTGCAGAAAGGCGAGGCACGTAGCAACGCCATGACAGCAAGCTTCATTTTCATAAAAAACAATTACAAAAAGCTTTCTGTGTGATCGGGGCCTTAAAGGCATCCTGCGTTGATGACGTAGCCCTGGCGTTAACACTACAAAAGATAAGTGGTCAGAAGCATCTGATTGAGTGGTTTCAGTGGTCAGATCACAATGTCTCTTTGTGGTCGTCTACACGTCTACGTATTTACATTCAGAACTTGTGATCAGCTCACCCAAGACACATGTTAAATGCCATGTAAGAACAGGCCTCAAGCATCCACTGGCTGCCTGGCAACTGGTGCCAGCCAAGAACCAGTCCGGCCCTGTACAAAATGGCCAATTGTTGTTTTTAAATGCTGGTTTTTGTACAGATTAACAAGCGATAACACGTGTAACTCAATGATGGCTCACCGGCTTTGAACCGTAGTTGGGAACATTCTGGCTTATTAGCATTAACTGTCTTGGCTTGTTATCAGCTGGTGCCTAGTGTCTAGCGGTCCAGACCAGCTCGCTGAAGGCAGGATAGTGAGGCACCAACAATGGCTTTATTGCAGTCTTCACCACTGAACAATGAACGTGGCCTTCTCATGAGGAGTAGCCCTGAGCTTATCTAGACACTTAATTCTACTGGCTATCGTCACTATTGCCACATGCCATCTTCACCACCAGCTGCTTCCCACCATGCATGAAGCACACGTCACACACTCACAGGTTACCCACAAGGCCACTTTTTTAAAGGAGAAAAAAGGGTGAGCTGGTGATATGTAAGTTACTGAGATTTGGAGTTGCTTGTAGGCAGGCTGGCTAGCTGTTTCCCCCTGTTTCCAGTCTTTATGCTAAGCTAAGCTAACTGGCTGCCAGCTGGACCATCATAGTTAATGTGCAGACATGAGAGTGTACCTTTAAATGCCGTTATGTTTCTAACTCCCAGAGTGCATCACATCGTATTTCCCATAGTGCTCTGTGAGAATTTAATGCAAATGGCAGTAAAGAGGCGCGAATGAGGAACAATGCTGGTGCATTCTGTCCGTGTGAGATGAGAGGAAGACTGGACAATGAGAATCTTTGTGAGAGGAGAAGAAGAAGAGGCTGTTTGCAAGTCTCTGGGGCCTTTTGAATCAGTCACATACAATGTTACACAAAATAAAACACACAGTATATTGTCCCTGCAGCAGGAACACACTGTGAGACATACAACACCTCCAAATGTCCTCGTCTGGACAATTATTCATGAGCTGGAGTCAGTAATAAACCTGGGGGCGACAATTTAATCAGTTAATTCATTTTCCTTTGATTACAAGTCCTGAAATTTGTACCCAAGTACAGGACTTTAGTTATGTTAGTTACCGTCAGTGGTAGTTACAATCTTCCTCTCTAACATGCAGGCAACACAGGTGTTCAGGTGCTCTCATGTGTCCTACCTGCAGCCGTCTCTGCCTAGGAGCTGGATTAGGCTTGTGCGCTGCAGATGGCTGTCAGTTGGGCTGTAGGAGAAGATACAAGCTGCACAGCCTCTCCTGCTCAGCCCCAGGCCACGAGACATCAACACAACCAGGTGGATACAGCACCACCTGCCTGAAACTCATTTTGCTTCATGTTTAGTTTACTGCAGCCCTCATTCTGACACAACAGACGACTGCACAACAGTTAAATGTAAGTTATTCATTATGTTCATGAGGCTGGTAAATGTTTGAATACGTCTGTTAACTCAGTATGAAGTCAAACTTTTTAATTGCACAGGCAGCGTGTCTGAGAGTGTTTAATAGAATAATTTTAGGTGCCTGAAGAGAGAAAACTGTACTACAGTATGTTGAGTTTGAAGGTTCATTGTTGCCCTCGGAAGTAGTGAAGTTCTTAGATAAAGGTCCACCTGCTGTATATAACTCTAAAGAAAAAGGCAAAAATTAGAAGTCAGAAAAATAAAATGTGAGCAGCAAGTTTGTCTTATTTACAACCTCGAAATCATCTTAGATTCAAATGTGAAAACCACTGGTACATGTAAATATATATGGAATTTATACGGGCAAAAAGTCCTAAATGAACCTTTACATTTGTTAATAAGACCATTATGAATTTATTGTGATGCCATATTGGTATTTCCAGCTGATGACATGAACAGTTTTCAGGGTGTCTACAGGTATCAGTCACTTGAATTTAATGTATTTAAGACCTTTTCAAAATCATATTTAACCAACTTTAAGACTGATTTTTAAACAATTCCTATTTTTCTTACATCTCTTACATCATGGATCTGCAGTTTGGGGCGGCTTTTGATTTGCTGGTCCATCTACATCCCAACCCTCACCTATGGTCATGAGCTCTGGGTAGTGACCGGAAGAAAGAGATTGCAGATACAAGCGGCTGAAATGAGTTTCCTCCATGGGGTGACTGGGCTCAGCCTTAGAGATAGGGTGAGGAGCTCGGACATCCGGAGGGAACTCGGAGTAGAGCCACTGCTACTTCATGTTGAATGGGGTCAGTTGAGGTGGTTCGGGCATCTGATCAGGATGCCTCCTGGGTGCCTCCTGCTGGAGGTGTTTTATGCATGTCCCAATGGTAGGAGGCCCCGGGGCAGACCCAGAACACACTGGAGGGATTACATATCTCATCTGGCCTGGGAACACCTTGGGGTCCCCCAGGAGGAGCTGGAAAGTGTTGCTGGGGAGAGGGATGTCTGGGGTGCTTTGCTCAGCCAGCTGCCCCCGCGACCTGGCCCAGAATAAGTTGATGAAAATGAATGGATGGATCTTTTTCCTATTTAAGTATTGCAGATAAGTATAAAGGTAGGTACCACTGAGTTAATTTACCCGACAGGTAAGTGCAAGTAAAAAGCCCTGTGGGCCAAATAGGGTGCCAGGTGGCCCGCCAACCATTTTCCAATTCATAGTAGAATTTAAATTACTTCACACTGGGATATTTTATTACTTTGAGTGTAAATAAGGTGCCAGAGAATAAAGCAGTTTCGTGTTTAAAAAAATCATTTTTTTTTAAAGATGCTGCTCGTTGTGGAGGGCCCTCTAACGATGGTGGCTGGTGCAAAACACCAGTGGATCTATCAAAAGCCAGTGTTTGTCATCAAGTTACCTAGATTCATGTTCATTTGTCATCCCTGTGTTGCCTGTTTTATTTTGGTAACCGCTGTCTCATCTTGTTTCAGATTCCACATCCTGTCCTTTGTGATTCCTTGCCCCGCCCTAATGTGTTTCACCTGTGTATCATGTCTCCCATGTCTTAGTTGAAGTCCTTGTTTTCCCCTGTTTGTTGCCAGATTATCTTTTCCCTTAAGTAAGAGTCCTAGCGTTTCCCTAGTGTTACCTCTGTGTGTGTGTTTGACCGTTTTTGCTCGTGACCACCCTTTCTGCCTGTCGTTTTTGGATACTCTTGCCTGTGTGACTGACTACCCTGCATACCAACCTTTGCCTGACTAAAAACCCTGAACTTTCATCTGAGTCTGGGAGTCTGCTCAGTGAGTCCATCTCCAGTTTGTGCTTGGTAATGTTTGGTTTGTTCTTTCCGGGCTACTGAAGAATCATGGCGTCGGAACATGGCGAGGACCCGCTCCCTATGTAGATGTAAACAGTTCATTCTAAGGTAAGAGAAGCACAACAATGCTTATTTTCCAGTGATTATGAAATAATGAAAACATATTTATTATTTGAAATTCCATCACTGTTCACTATCCCCCTAAATCCTGCACACTGAAGCTTCAAGGCTGAATATTTATGAAATTTAAGACAGTTTGAGACTTTTTTTAAGACCTGCAGACGAAGAAGAAGAAAGAAGAAGTGAGTTCAAATAGGTTGTAAGGGGCTTGATTATGACGGGCCTTAAAGGTGAGAAGCAGAATCTTGATGCGACTTTCTGTGGACGTGTACACTTGTATTTATCCCTCCCTGTACATTTTAATACTGACTTCAGTGCTCTGTTTAATCCAGTGTCCTGCTGCTGTCTCCCACAGAGGCATCTCCACACTGTCACCAACAGCTGACTCCACCTGCTGCTGGTGTGTGACCACCGGAGCCTGGTGAGATCTGAGTGAGCCCGAGAAGCAATTTCAATTCCATAATAACGACTCTGTGATTTCTGAATTTCTCATCTTTTTTTATTCACATACAGTACCTTCAATTCTGGACAGATTACATTCAAGAATATCAAAAGGAAATGCCAAAAGAGTGAATTCCCTCACAAACCCAACAAGCACAGAGAAATGCATTGGGATGTACAGTACGTATACCTCTGATAAAAATCTACACACGTTAGATACGCAGACGTTATAGGCTACAGCAGGGTAACGTGTACTCTATAACATGTGCAGGACATAACGTGTGACCGCAGGGCCGAGCTATTTACACTGGATCCAAAAATTGTAGTTCCTCTTCACCATTTCATCTTTCTTTTTTTATACATATTAACATGTACAGTAATCTTCTTTAGTGGGGAGAGCTGGAAACTGTTTCTCCAACATCCTTTGAATCACACACACATCACGCCGGTTGTTGTTTGAAAGCACTCTACTCTCTACTTCACCATAAATAAAACAATTACAAAAATATACCTCACTTCAAACAGAGCCATAGCAAGAAAAAGAGCGTACAGCCATCGTGGAATGATAAAAAACAACAACACATATCAACCTGTGAGAATAAGATGGAGGGAAAGATGGAGGAGAGGTTTGAAGGGGGGCGGGGGGGCTGGTTTCCAGGACAGTGTGTGAAAGAGTTTAAAGAACAAGCTGGAATTCCAATGAAAGACAGCAGTTTTAATGGGAATGTTTGAGGTTGTGACAGGCTGTGGATGGCAGCTGCGGATTGGCTGGGACGGTGGCGGTGACGTGGGTAGTCTGGGCGGAGGAGGTTGATTTCCTGACATGTTGTTTCCTTTCAAGTCAAACCGCCCCCCCTCTCTCTTTGTGGGAAGATGTGTCGAGGTTAGTAGACATCAGCGATACAGGAATGCGGGGGTTAAAAACTCCAGGTCCATGTTGGATTAGTAGTGTGTTTACATTCACAGGTATATCCCATCGTACTAAGGCTCAGGAGGCTGCGATGTGTGTCAGTGTATGTGTTGCTGCTGCTGTTCCTCCTGAGAAGCAGAAGACTAGAAGCGGAGCTATTTTTTCTTGGAGTTGACGCTCTTGCAGACCCAATTCATGCCCTCCTGAAAGGAAGAGAAACAGCAGTGGTGAGAAGAAGAATGAAGATGAATGCAAATAAAGAAAGAAGTAAAAGCTCAGCTAGAGCGCTCACCTGAATCCCCTCACCAGTGAGGGCGGAGCAAGACTGGATCTGCCACATGCGATCCCGGATGGTGTGCAGATTGAGACCCTCCGCGATCTCGGAGGCCGGGGCGGCCGTCAGCAGGTCCTGCTTGTTTGCAAAGATCAGCACCGGAACGCCGCTCAACTTCTCTTCATCCAATAACTCAGCCAGTTCCTGCAACACACACAAACATCTGTCAGTTACACATAAACACGCACACAAATACTGTGACACAAAAAATATGAGACTCAAGAGCTTTGTGTTCAAGTTGTAGACTTGAGACTTGAAACTTGGACTCTAGGGATATATTGTTTGCTCCTTCAGTGTGGTTCATTTGGGCAGGTGTGAACACAGCGATCACACTTGGGTGCGCAACAACCAGACCGAGACCTTCTTGAAGAGGTAGTCTCAGTCCGGTTACAAACAAATGTGTTGCGACCTGGATGTGAACCAACTGCAGTCACATGACACATTGTTTGGGTTAAACATGAACATGTTACAGTCCTGGAGGATTATTAATGTGCACCTCCTCCTGTACTGCCTTAATATGCACATTCAGCACATCCAATGCATCAAAACATTGTTTTCTAGTTGGAGCCACGCCTCGTTTTCAAACTGTATGGTTTGACTAAAATGAACAATGACAGCAATATAGTCCATGATGAGCAGCGCTAAAATCAACCTGCGTAGTTGTCCCTCCATTGTGACATTAGAAAGTGTCACATTTATCTTGCAAGTGTACTCTTCTTCAACGTTTGCTTTACTTCCTGGATTTTTCCCACCTGGAAATTCTGACCAATCAAGAGCAGCTTTCTCACACAAGGCATGTGATCTGGTCCGCTTGTAAATGCTGCAGTGAGAACACGAACCAACTCTAAGCAATAATGCAACTTTGAAACAAAATTAGTCCCTGATTCAGACCAAAGCAAGACAACTCTAGGTCTGGAAGCACCCTTATTTTCTGTGTTCGGGACATTTCTGAGCGTGTAACCCCACAGTGCTCAGGTGAGGTTATAAAAAGGTAGCAACCAGGTGCTTGACTGTAAGCAGCACACATCCAAAAAACACTGAAATGGAAAAAAAAATGCAAATATAAGAAGGTGAAACACCAAACTAGAGTGAATCTGTGGTTGGCCTTTAATTTCACTTTAACTGGTGAGTGTGTTTACAAACATCCATCCATTTTTTAACCACTTATCCTGTTGGGGTCACAGGGGGGCTGGATCCTATCCCAGCTGACATTAGGTGAGAGGCGGGGCACACCCTGGACAGGTCACCAGACTATCACAGGGCTGACACATAGAGACAGACAACCATTCACACTCACATTCACACCTACGGACAATTTAGAGTCACCAATTAACCTGCATGTCTTTGGACTGTGGGAGGAAGCTGGAGTACTGGAGTAAAACCCACGCTGACACAGGGAGAACATGCAAACTCCGCAGAGGAGCTTCCCCACCCTGGGTTTGAACCAGGGACCCTCTTTCTGTGAGGCCCAGTGCTAACCACTGCACTGTCCATCTCTTATTTGTTGTGTTAAAACCCAACAAAGACAGTGGCCGGCTCCTGCATCAAAAGGACTTGGTCTCATTTTAAAAACATTAAATCCCCATTAACACTGTCTTTCAGGGAAAATGTTCAAATGTCGTCCATCTCATTTCGTCGTCAGCAATTGGGGACTTGAACGTCACGTCCAATTTGCTTATGAAGACTTAAGACTTGTAAAACATTGTATTCAAACTTAAACAATTGGTTTAAGGACAAAAATAGTCTGCAACAATTCTGAAATTCAACTAACTGTTTAAAGGTCTAGGTCTTTGATTTGTCCCTTCTGGGTTACTGTAGAAAACAGTATGCCGGACTCTGTGAAGTGGATCGGCTCCGTATGTGGATATAAACCGCTCATTATCAAGTAACAAAAACACAACAATTCTTATTTTCAGGGATTTATAAACTACTGAAAACATTGTTATGAATATTATATTCCGTTTTTGCCAATAGAGGTCTCTAAATTCTACACACTGGACCTTTAAGTTATTTATTTATTTAACAAGTCCAGAGATGCCATTGGTTTTAACTTATCAATAGCAGCTGTTTTCTGGTTTTCTTTGCCTCCTATGATAGTAAATGCTGAATGAAATCAATGTTTTTGGGTTAGTTGGACAAAATAAAGCTCCAAGGAAATGTGATGGAGATTTTTTGTCTATTTAGCAACACTGTGTAGATAGAATGATTAATGAAATTTATTAAGAAAACAATCTCCAGATGAATAGAAAATGAAAATAATCATTAGGTGTAACCGTAAAGTATCGCAGTAAAGGCACAGTCCACACAGACACAAACTAACACGCAGTGTACATACCTGTCCCGTCTCCTCGAATCTCTTTCTGTCAGCGCTGTCAATGACATAAATCTGAAACAAAGGGAAGTGTTCCTTGTGAGCATGTGCAGCAGGTCCTCGGTGCATGTGTGATGACACCAAGGATGAACGGATCAAAACAGGAATGTAAACTTTTTTTTAAAGAAAAATCCACTCACCAGCACGTCAGTGTTTTCAAAATAGTTTCTCCAGTATGGCCTGATCTTCCTCTGACCCCCAATGTCCCAAACATTCAGTTTAAAACCCTGAGACTGGACGCTCTTGATGTTGAATCCCTGCAGAGAACAGAAAACATGAAGTGGGTTAAAAAAAAAGGGAAACACATGTAATTCCTGACCCTAAAAATTCACACATCCTTGTTGTATTGTGTCTGTTTACTCCAATAACAGGTGGTGCACCTATGAGACCTCCGTCCATACCTGTGTGGGGGTGATGTGGCTGATGTCCTCAGATGCCAGCTGTTTGAGCAAGGTGGTCTTCCCGCCGTTGTCCAGACCCAGCAGCAGTATCCTCACCTCCTGGTCTGGTGTGCTCTTTAGCTTGCGCAGGATGGACAGCAATCCCTGCAACAATCAGTGAAAAGCAGCCATGTGATGTTACTTTGCCAGGGGGACAGGGGGAGCACTGTGGCAGCTGACCACCATTGTACAGATGCATCTCTTTTTACAGGCCGTGCAAGTGCAACTCTAGTCCCCATTGTGGCTGTTTGAGATGGGCAAACACCCATCTAACGGTACCGGTGTGTGAGGACAACGACACGTCCCGTTAGCAGCTCGTCACATCATCTTCTTTGTTTATTTTTCTGTGCCTTGCGGGCTTGTTGTTTGAGCGCAAGGCTAGTTAACGGCACGCAAACGGGAGCTAAGTGTAGCTAACGTGCTAAGCTAATCTCCCCTGATAACTGAACGAAGCAACAAGGCAGCTTTTGCAGTTGAATGTTTTTCTCGGCGAGTCGCTAACAGCGACGGCCATTATATCTCAAATATACTAAAGCTAGCGCTACTTAATGCGAATATGTTCACATGTTTACGTGATGTTAGCGGTTAACAGCTAATTATTATACGACAAATTAAACTCACCATCTTGTTGCCTTCTCTCCTGGAGACGCCGCAGAGGGTTACTAAGGGGGGTGACGTCAGACGCACAGTTACGTACGCAGCTCGAGGACAGCCCCAAACATGGCGGGCGAGTGGCTAGCTAACTTAGCTGCTAACAGCTAAATATGTCAAATACAGACCAGGAATAGTTCCCAATGTTTTATTCTGTTGACGAGTTTTGCTTACAGACGTTAAAATAAATAACTTCGTGTTAATGCGTTTCATTTTTGCACGAGACGCTGAACAACACGTCATTTTTATTTATTGTTTTAAAAAAAAGGTAACGTAATTAGCTAGCTAGTTAGCACAACAGTTGAAAAGCCGCTGTAAACTCAGCTAACACCATAGCTTGGCGTTCGCCGGTTTTCACGTAGGGAGCTGCCCCGACCCGTGATTGGAGGAGGGCATGCCACGTGCACATGTCTTTACTATGCCACACGAGCACATTTGATTACCTGTCAGGTTGCTCTGAAAGGCGGCCCAGGAGG